AGCAATAATGCATGAAAGGTTCAATAACACAGCCTTAATGTAAGCAAATGTGTGTTTATAGCCATTTTAGAACAGTCATTTTTATTTTAAAGGGAATTTACTACCACTCTGTGCAGAGCTGTCTTGTGCTAGTGACGTTTTGTAATACATTGATTTGATGCAGTAATCTTTATAGCTTTGAGACGGCTCAGAAATATTTTATACTGTTATATATTTATACAGTATATTGTAAATAATGTATATTTAGCAAAATTATGTTTTAGTATGGTTCAAGAAACTATTTACAGTCTTAAATTGTTGTGGCAATTAATCTGTTTTCCATTGATTCTTTAATAATATTTTTTTATATAGTTTTTAAGGTTTCTCAATGCATGTGCAATTTGAAACAGGACATTCAGTGTCTGTAAAACATCAGATTTTCATTGTCTTCTTTATGCATGGCATACTTTACATTGCTTAATAATGTATAATAGCTGTGTATATATATATGCAACAAATTATATGTCTATGTTGAACTAAAAAATTAATTATTGGAAGCTCTTTATGCAGCGTAAAGCAGAACAAATGAATTAAACCAGCTACATTAGAGCTACATTAGTTGACTCATAAAAGTAAGTCGATACTTGGACCATTATGCTTTTTAGATTTAATAGGTTTTATTGTTTATAGATATTATCGCTTGAAGAAAGTTGTAACCAATACAAATAAACCCACAGGAAGAGCTGCAGATCTGTTTTTATCTTTTAATTTGTCCATTAACATATTAGTGCTTTGTAATCCAAATGTTAATTACTTTAGGTTTGTCTATATACAATGTGTGTCAGTGGACCTACATTAGGTTATTGCATCATATGATTCATTAAATATTATCTCTCTTCATATGACCTTAGCACATTATACTCAAACCTTATTCAAGTCAAAAGCAGGTCACATGTCAGAAACTGTGAAGTCCTGTGTAGAAAATTGTAGATAAGTTTCTTTCCAGGTCTCTTTTTACACAGTGGACTTGATTTCATCACTCGTTATATAACAAGGTGATAAGAATAGATTCTGGTGTGACTTTGTCACACATAACATATAGGCTACATTCAGTTCTAGCGAGGAATCTGCACAGGGTCTTCACAAACAAGGCTGCAAGGCAAAAGCAGAATCATACAGACTGTCCAGTGTTCTGACAAATAATGCTACCAACACTGTATTTATCCTACTGTAAGTTTAGGGTTGGGGTAGGTGTATGTTAATAAAGCCTCACACCTTAT